CGGGCGGCTCGGCTCCTCAGCGACTCAGGCGGCTCGGGTGGCTTGGGCGGGTCGGGCGGGTCGGGCGGGTCCGGCGGCTCGGGCGGCTCAGGCAGCTCGGGCGGCGCGGGCGGTGTAGGGCGGCAGGGCCGCTGGTAGGGCGGCGGGGCCGCAAGGTAGGTGGCGGGGCCGCAGTGAGAGGGGCGGCGGGGCCGTAGTGAAGGGCGGCGGGGCCGCCGTGAAGGGTGGCGGGGCCGCTGAGAAGGGCGGCGGGGCCGCAGTGAGAGAGGCGGCAGGGCCGCAGAGAAGGGCGGCGGGGCCGCTGAGAAGGGCGGCGGGACCGCAGCGAGAGAGGCGGCAGGGCCGCAGCGAAGGGCGGCGGGGCCGCTGAGACGACGGCGGGGCAAAAGCGAAGGCAGCGGGGCCTCAGTGTGAGGCGGCGGGGCCGCTGCGAAGGGCGGCGGGGCCGCAATGTGAGGCGGCGGGGCCGCAGCGAAGGGCGGCGGAGCCGTTGAGACGGGCGGCGGGGCCGCAGTGAAGGGCGGCGGGGCCTCAAAGTAAGGCGGCGGGGCCGCAGTGAAGGGCGTCGGGGCCGCAATGTGAGGCGGCGGGGCCGCAGCGAAGGGCGGAGGGGCCGCTGAGAAGGTCGGCGGGGCCGCAACGAGAGAGGCGGCGGGGCCACAGCGAAGGGCGGCGGGGCCGCTGAGACGGGCGGCGGGGCCGCAGCGAAGGGCGGTGGGGCCGCAGTGTGAGGCGGCGGGGCCGCAGCGAAGACTGGCGGGGCCGCAGTGAAGGGCGGCGGGGCCGCAGCGAAGGGCGGCGGGGCCGCAGCGAAGGGCAGCGGGGCCGAATCGATGGGCGGCGGGGCCACTAGGGCGATGAGGCCGCTAGGGCGTTGGGGCCACTAGGGCGGCTCGACGAAGTGAGAGCCCGTAGCGCGACTCGGACTGAGTGCGCTTTGGGGAGGGAAAAAAAAACTCGATGTGGTGGGCCCTAGGCACAGTTCCCACAGGGGAACCTGCTTGATACCATGAGGAAATTAGAACGAGAATGAAATGACTAAGTCAAAGTTGGGTACAAATACAAACCCTAGAAAGCTGTACCCCATATGTGCTACCCCACTATAGCCTAAAATAGCTATGTAATATATATCTGACATATCACCCCGGATATAAGCGCAAGCCTATGTTAAGCGCATGCGCTTATATCTGGAGCAATGCGCTTATGGCCGATCCTCAATTATAGGCGCACCCCTTATAAAACCCTGATTTATTATAAGCGCATATATGAACATGTAAAAAAAATGGATTAAAACAGTAACGACTTCCCGTTTTGAAGCGAGTCCACATCAACTTCTACTCTGTTCGACTCCCTCGAGGGCGGGCTCACTCAGGAAAAGTGCAACGGCGCGAAGCTGACCTGACAAGGGGGCTTGGGAACACCTATTGTTGTCTCTGCGCTGCGAGCGAGCGACTGCAGGCTATTGGTCGTACACTAGGGCAAGCCTGTGCGATGCGAACGAGCGACTGCAAGCTAATGGTTTCTACACTCTACTGGGGCGAGCATGACACGTTCCTATGCAAAAGTGACGTGTCCTTGCCCTTGTGCGCCGGCAAAGAATCGCCCTCGCGCGATTCTGATTCAGAATGCTCCGCATATTTTGATTTGAATGAAATTGCAAGACTCTAATGCACAGTTTGGTGCGTTTATAACATGTGTTTGTCATTACATAAGCGCATGCGCTTATAATTTTGACTCATTTATAAGCGCACCCCCTAAGAAGCACTGCTTTATTATAAGCGCAGATGCGCTTATGTCCGAGGTATTACGGTATCTTTGAAGTACGGCGATGATGTGGAAAATACAATAAGAAAATGAATCAACTATGAAACAGTTGGGTACAAGTACTAACCCTAATTGGGTTGTACCCCTTATGGGCTACCCCACTACAGCCTACACAGAAGCATAAGCTATAATGTTCTTACACACCCCCATAGGCAAAGTGGGGGAGAATAAGGGGTCACAAGACCAGTCAAGCAAAGCAAAGCAAGCTCAGGGTGGATCAAAAAGTCACCACACACTCCCAACACAAGTTCAAGGCCATAAGGCCAGTTCACATGCAGGAGTACATATATATATGAAAGGCTAGACAAGCAAGAGAAGGTGCATATATATATGTAATAGTAAAAACAAGGTCAAGAGGTGAGCAAGTGAGGCAAGGCAGGCACAAGACCCAGCTGAGTACAGAAGCGCTGATGATCACAAGGCGCAAGCGCCTTGGTGAAGATATCAGCAGTGTTGGCCTCAGAGGCCACGTACGCAAGATGCACCTGACCACGCTGCTGCAACTCACGAGCAAGGAAGTAGCGGAGAGCAATGTGCTTCGTTCTGTGCTCCAGTCTCTGCTCCCGACACAAGGCCAGCATGGCCTTGTTGTCTACGTACAGCACTGGAGGAGAACGAGGCGGCTCTCCGAGGTCAGTCAGTAGGTAGGTGAGCCAGCGAAGCTCATGAGCAGCCATGGCTCTTGCGTAGATCTCAGCCTCACAACTGGAGCTGAGAACAGAAGACGAGCGAGTAGCCCGCCACGAAACAGAACCGGAACCAAGGCTAAAGGTGTAACCCTGTGATGACCGCTACGTAGCCTGGTTGTCAGCCCAAGAAGCGTCTGCGTGCCCAGTGAGGACTACTGGACTCCGCCCTCCAAGCACTAGTCCCATGCCCGACGTACTGCACAAGTAGCGCAGCACCCTCTTCGCTGCAGCCATGTGCTCTGGTCGGTGTCTCCCAAGAGCAACATAGCGTGCAAGAATGCTAAGAGGGTATGCAAGGTCAGGTCGTGTGCAGGTCATCAGGTACATGAGGCAGCGAACAAGCTCTGGGTACGGGCCACTCGACTATACGGACTCATCCGAAGGCAGAGCTGAGAGCGAGTGACGAGTAGGCAAAGGAGTGGCCTGAAGCGAGGAGTACGTGAAGCCGAAGCGCTGAAGGACCTGCTGCACCATGTGTGACTGAGTCAGGGTAATGGTGCGGCGTGCTATGTCCCGGGTGATCTGCAAGCCAAGGTAGCTGCGCAGTTCACCCAGGTCTGTGCACGTGTGTCTCTTCTGTATCTCGGACTTCACGTGGGCGAGTCCAGCAGTGTCAGCAGTGGCAAAGATCAAGTTGTCCACGTACACGAGGATGTAGAACGGCGGCAAAGAAGTGTCGTTGCGCAGAAACAGTGACGGGTCGGCAGTAGAGGGGGCGAACCCAAGAGCCGCAAGTGTAGTCCTCAGTGTGTCATGCCATTCACGCTATGCCTGGCGGAGACCGTAGACTGGCTGCCGGAGGCTCCACTGGGTGCCAGGAGGAAAAGTCCCAGTGAAGCCAAGTGGGCGGCGCAGCCAGATCTCCTCGTGCAGGCTGCCCTGCAAGAAAGCAGTGCTGAAGTCAAGAGAGTGTAGCTCGTAGTCACAGTGAGCAGCTACGTGCAGCAGTACCCGAAGAGTGGTCATCTTCGGGGTGGGAGAGAAGGTGTGAAAGTAGTCAACTCCCTGCCGCTGACTGAAGCCACGAGCCACGTACCGCGCCTTGAAGACAGGCGGAGAACCCGGCGGCCGCTTCACCATGAAAATCCACATGCCACTGACGATGTTCGCCCAAGGAGGGGGAACGTCGTCAACGTAGGTGCCTGTGGACTTCCAGGAAGCCATCTCTGCGTCCATAGCTGCCTGCCACTGAGAGGAGTAGGGACCCTCTATCGCCTCCCGTAAGAGCGCGGAGTCGGGATGTCAAGTGCATCCGGGTCTCCCTCAGGGGTAAGCAGTACGGACACGAGATGAGGTGAAGCAGCACCCAAGCACTAAAGCTCCTCCTGCCTGTCCTCAAGGACGTCCGTGCCAAAGGCTCACTCACCCCCGACGGACGGAGGACAGACAGACTCAGATCCAGCAACAAGACTGGCCGTGTAGTCAAGGCGACAGCGAGCAGCAAAGTCGACTAGCTCAGCAACTAGGGCAGACGCAGTAGTGGACTCAAAGGAAGGGTCAGTGACAACAGTAGCAAGGAGATGCATGACAGTAGGACTGGCAGCACGAAGAGAGCGCGACTCCGGGTCGGGAAGAGCAGGAAGAGAGGACTTAGTAGGAGAAGGCAAAGGGACACGCAGAGGAGCAGTGGACGGACGCAGAGACATCCGGTGCGTGTAACGGACAGGAGGAGGACGCTGACGCGAACCACGACCACTAGTGCAAGCAGCGAGGACAGGCAACGTAGGGGGAGACGCAAGCTCACGACGCTCAGCAAGACCTCCAGTACGACAAGTGTAGGGAGAAGGAGCAGGCAGTGGGGAGGCCGACTGTAACTGCAACTATGTCGGGAAAGGCTGTGGACACTCTAAGGGAGGAGGAGGACCAGTAGAAGGCGGGAGACCAAGAACCTGCTGAAGGAGCGGAACGAAGTAAGGCCGAGGGCGCGCGGCGACTCCAAACACAGCAGGGACAGCACAAGTACCCCTAGCGGTAGCACCAGTGCCAGCAGCACCTCCAGCTCCAGTACCTCCAGCAGCACCAGTAGCACCCCCAGCAGTAGCCTCAGCGCCAACACCCTCAACAGCTCCAGCTCCAGAAGTACCCGCAGGCCCAGCAGCTCCAGTACTCCCAGTACGAGCACCTCCGGGACCCGCGGCACCAGCACCCTCAGTAGCCGAAGAAGCTCCAGCTCCAGCAGCACGCCTCCAGCGCCGGGCAAACCACTCGCGCAGTTCCTGTGAAGAGAGTGGCTCCCGCTGAGACGAAGCATCCGGAGAACCGCCAGGCACAGCACCCCCAGACGCCACACGAGTAGGCCCAGCTCCCTCAAGCTCCGCACCCCCAGGCTGAGCACCTCCAGGCTCAGCACCCCCAGGCGTAGCACCCCCCGGCTCAGCACACCTAGGTTCAGCACCCCTAGGCTCAGCGCCCCCAGGTTCAGCACCCCCACACTCAACACCCCCAGGCTCAGCACCCCCACTCGCAGTACCCTCAATCTCAGCACCCCTAGGGGCAGCCTGCTGCCGCCCCTCAACACACGGGACGCAGGTAGGGGCAGGCCCCGGAGGAAGGGGAGGGAGGGACCGGGGAAGACCAGAGACAAGGACACAGGAGGCCATGCCTCGGAAATGAAGCAGGGAGGGGTGACCAAGGCGGTGGTGCCAGAGGAGAGTCTCGCGAGACAGGAGGCGACACGAGTAGGTGTCATACTCAGGACCAGACCTGGACGCTGCAGCAAACACCTGACCTGACGCAGCTACCTGACCAGACGCAGTGGGAGGAGACGCAGTGGTTTGTGTGTACAGGCTCGACCCCGACCGACGTGTAAACGTGGCCAGGTGTCGGCGTGTCCGAGCGCCCGAGCAGTGGGTCACCCGCTGACTCGCAGGAGTGAACTGGTGAACCCCCGCATCATGCAGGTCAGCAACACTCACCAAGTTCGTAGAGAATGAGGGGAGGTGAAGACCAGACAGGGTGTCAGCGGGGGCCACTGGACACGGGAGGACAGTGGAGAAGTGAGCAAGAACAGGACCCCCGGAGGGGTCTGCCAGAGAGACTACAACAGGCCGACCAAGCGGCGTGAATGTGGTGCGGTCTCGAAAGAAGGAGCGAGAAGCCCCCGAATCAAGAGTGAAGGTGTGGGAGGCCGAAGGCGACGCAGTACCTGAGAGCGCAGACTCACCAGCACCTGAGGAAGCAGACACACCAGCACCTAGAGCAGCACCCTCGCTAGCACCTGGAGTAGCAGCCTCACCAGCACCTAGAGCAGCAGTCTCAATGCCCGGGTCGGGCGGGAAACACCGGTAACAGTCACCCTCATCACTAATAGTCACAGCATACATGGCAGCAAGGATAGCATCAAAGTCAAGATCAAAGATAGCTACTCCCGCCCTAGACAGCTCGCCCCAGCGAGGGATCTTAGTGGCCTCAGGGAACTGGTGACGCCAAGCGTCCGTCAGGCGGCCAAAGTAGCGCTGAGTGGAGTGCGCACCCCCGCACTGCTCACCAGCTCGGTCGCCGGTGCGGAGAATGTAGGTGCAGGGACCCGAACCCCCACCACGCTGACGCGCTGCGTACCACTCACGAAGCTGCTAAGGGGATAGGGTCTCCGGACTGCGCTGCTGCTGCTGGCGCGTACCACCACCGGAGCCACTCCTCTGCGAAGAGCCACGACCTCCTCCTCCTCCTCCGCCGCCGCCGCCTCCTCCACCGTCGCCACCTCCGCCACCTCCGCTCCCACTGCCACCGCCGCCGCTGCCTCCGCCTCCACTGGCGCCACCGACACCCCCACCCCCGCCACCACTCCCACCACCACCCGCACCCCCTCCACTGCCTCCACCGCCACCTCCGCCACCCCCGCCAGTCCCTCCAGTGCCCTTGCCCCCCTTGCCCTTGCCGGTGCGGCGTGTCCCGCCAGGGGCAGACGCAGCGCCGACTGACTCGAAACCAACGAGGTCGGCCGCAGCAGCAAAGGCAACAGAGGGCAAGAGGGGGGAGGGGGAACACCCCTCAAAGACGAGGGTGCGAGGGTCACTACGAGAGGCTCCTACAGCGACTATGCTCTTGTCTGCTGCTAGGAGGGCCTTCTCGAGGAGGTCAACGGTGAGAGTGGTGGGGCAAACTCAGAAGAAGTGGTCCCTGACTACGCGGAGAGAGTCAAGGAGCCGGGTGACTATGTAGTAGAGGGTGATGTACATGGGGGGGGGGGGGGGGGGGGTTCTTGGCGTAGAACTCAGCAGGAAGCGCAGCGCGGTAGCGAGTGTCACTAGGGCGGAGATGCGTAATGAGGTCAGCGACTGTGGGGAAGGCAGCAAGGTCAGGGAAGAGGTATGGTAGCATGAGGCGGCTCAGTGCAGCAGTGGCAGGGGAGGAGTAGCGTGCAACTACAGCGTCGTACAAGGTCTGAGCACTCTTGTACTGGCTAAAGTGCGCACGCTCAGTGGTAGGACGGTGGCGACGCACAGCAGGACGTGCAGCAGCATCGCGTATAGCCCACTGTGAGCAAACAGTGGCGTTAGCATCAGCAGCAGGGGCAGGAGAGGCACCAGAGGTGAGGTCAAAGAGGGAGAGACCGTCTGCCCTATCGCACTGTAGGAAAAGCTGCAGGTCATCTACCCAGACGTCAAAGTCAATGGCCCGACCCTCATTGTCAAAAGTGAGGACACTAGGGGTAGCCATGATAGCTGTAGACTAGCAGCGCGAACAGTAGGGCAAGGGCAGTGCAGTGACAGAGGCGCTGCTCTTACTGGACAGGGCGGCTCGAGCGGCTCGGCGGCTCGGCAGGAACTGCAGCTCGGCGGCACAGCGACTCGACGGCTCGGGCGGCTCGGCGGTACGGCGACTCGGCAGCAACTGCGCCTCGACGACTCGGGCGGCTCGGGCGGTACGGGCAGCTTGGGCGGCTTGGGCGGCTCAGGTGCCGCGGCGGCTCGGGCAGCTTGGGTGACTCGGCAGCAGCTCGGCGGCGCTGGCGGCTTGGCGACTCGGTGGGGCCGCGTGGGGACGGTGGAGGGGCCGGGTGGAGCGGCGACGGGGCCAGCAGAGGCGGCGCTGGGAGGGCTGCTGAAGGGGCGGCGTCGAGGCCGCTGCAGGGGTGGCAACGAGGCCGCTGAAGAAGGCAGCGGGGTCGCTGAAATGGCGGCGACGGGGCCGCTTAAGGGCGGTAACGGGCCGTAAGGGGAGGGCGGCGACGGGGCCGCTGAAAGAGGCGGCAGGGCCGCTCGAAGGGCGGCAAGAGGGCCGCTACAAAGGCGGCGACGGGGCCGCTGAAGGAGGCGGCGGGGCCGCTGATAAGGGCGGCAACAGGGCCGCTGTGAGGGCGGCAACAGGGCCGCGTCAGGGGCGGCGACAGTGCCGCTGTAAGGGCGGCGACGTGGCCGGTGCAAGGGCAGCGACAAAGCCACTATAGAGGCGGTGACGGGGCCGCAGGTGAAAGGGCGGCGACGGGCCACATAGGGAGGGCGGCGACGGGCCGCTGAGGGCGGTACGACGGGGCCGCAAAAGGGGCGGCGCGACGGGGCCGCGAAAGGGCGGCGTGACGCGGTCGCGAAGGGCGACGCGACGGGACCGCTAAGGGCGGCGCAACGGGCCGCTAAGGGCGACGCAACGGGGCCGCTAGGGAAGGCGCGACCCTAAGCGCGCTTTGGGCAGGGGCGGGACGCGCCCCGGGCAGGAAAAAAAAAGTCGGTGGGCCTTCGGAACAGTTCCCACTAGGGAACCTGCTCGATACCATGTGGAAAATAGAACTAGAAAATGAATGAACTATGAAACAGTTGGGTACAAGTACTAACCCTAATTGGGTTGTACCCCTTATGGGCTACCCCACTACAGCCTACACAGAAGCATAAGCTATAAACTTCTGACAGATGAAGCTTCCGCCTATTGTGCTCCATGAAAAGCGTACACTGCACGAACAATGATGTCAAGAGTTGCCGCTCGAATTTGCATTTATGCTTTTTCGGTGATACTCGGTTGAAGAAGAAGAGAAAAAAAAAAGTGTGCATGGTCGGCCAATAGAGCCGTGTCCGGCTTACTACTGTGATTTGCCCTCAATGGCCCTCCCAATTCCGTGCTTCAATAATCATGCATTTTCGCGCTGATATGGCCGAAACAGTAGGCTAGTACCAATCATTTGGCGTTCCACAGTTTTCGTCGCCATTCTCATGCGTAGTCAAGTTGTAGCTTGTTGGTTGAGTGAGACCAAGTTTCCGGAACTATGCAGTTCTTCCATAGCTATGTTGCAATCGCGCACAACTTGGTCAGGACCAGGGCCTCAGATTCGTTTTGGCCTATGCTGAAAAATCAGAGTTGGTACAAGGCAATTTTATGCCATTTTACACTACAAATTTAATAAAACTTCCTGTTTCTTTTCAACAAATTGCTGGAAACTCAGCCTCAGTTCTAGAAGAGGTCTAAAATCTCAACCTTTTTTACCTAAATCAGCCATTTTTTGCTGACTTCTGAGGCCCTGGTCAGGACTACTCAGGTCTGTGGTCATTTCCTTGTGTTCCTACCCTACTCTAACAATCGTAACTACATTAGTGGTAGTATGAGAAATATTGGCAACGTTCAATTTAGCAATATCATAATGTCATTCACAGTACGATGCTTCTACGTTGAGATTGTTAACGTTTGATAAACCTGGAACAGTGCAAAAGGTTGCTTTTGGCACAGTCGTACACATCTTGAGCATTGGCCTAGCGGCGCACCTACGCAATCGTCACAAAGGTTCTTGTTGTAATATTGGGCTATCGAGGAGAATGCGTAGCTACATGCTCAATGGAACGACATCATATCCACTTTTTGTTAACGAAACAAGGCGCCAGTTTGTATATTCAAGAACCGGAATGGTATTTGATCATCCTCGGAGAGATACATCCATTGCACGCAAACGCCCATGCTTGGACCGGATGTTTAAAATCCCCTCAAATCAAGTTGCGTATCTAAACGGAGCGTGTCATAAACGCAATCTGGTGTTCGATATTACAATGATGTTATTTTCAAAGTCTTTCAAATAAAGTTGTCGTGATGTAAGCCGCCACCTAGGCGCTGTCAACAAGCGCTCCTTCGGCACAATGCCGTGGAAACATCATGCGTCTCCAAACTTTGTTTGTGCACGTAAATATGGGTACACACCTGCTATGCATATATTCATAGTTGATAGTACACGTGTTTATAGTACAACACCTTTTGTCAATGTATTCAACGAGATGGGTTTCGCCTCTTACCAACGGTTGAGAGAAGGGGGATGCGTGTAACACCAACGCAAGCGTATACAGAGCTATTTTACTTTCCCAGGCGCTAACATCAATAATGCATTCGAACGACCACTCACATGGCATTCGTGAGTGTTGACTGGTTGTACAAGAGATATGTAGAATACATATAAAATGAACAGCAACCTCGTGTATGGTGTATGAATATAATTTAATATTTTCTATATGTAGTGCCTCTAGGATTGGTTACTGTAGTTATAGCGTTTTCGTATTTGGTGGTGCACCTTTCTTGCTTGTTCTCTAATATTTGTACCCTTGAACCTATAGTGAAACCTCATTCTCTCGACACATTTCTCCTTTCAAACTTGCTCGATACTCTCCTTCTACTCAACTTACTCGACCTCACTAGCCATGGCTCCTAAGCCTCGCTAAGAACTTTGACATGCTATCAGAGCTACCAAGGTCCTGACCTGTGGGCCCACCCTACAGCTTCCACTGCTAATCTGTGTTCGGCATGCCCCGTGACCTGCCCCTTGCCCTACGGCCCCATCATCTACCTGCGGCCCTACGGCCCCGTCGACTACCTGCGGCCCTACGGCCCCGTCGCCTACCTGCGGCCCTACGGCCCCGTCGCCTACCTGCGACCCTACGGCCCCGTCGCCTACCTGCAGCCCCGGCCCCGTCGCCTTCCTGCGGCCCAGGCCCCGTCGCCTACCTGCAGCCCTACGGCCCCATCGCCTACCTGCGGCCCTACGGCCCCGTCGCCTACCTGCGGTCCCGGCCCCGTCGCCTTCCTGCGGCCCCGGCCCCATCGCCTTCCTTCGGCCCCAGCCCCGTCGCGTACCTGCGGCCCCGGCCCTGTTGCCTACCCGCGGCCCCGTCCCCTTCCTACGGCCCCGTCGTCTCACTACGGCCCCGGCCCAGTCGCCCACCTGCGGCCCCGGCCTCGTCACCTAATTGCGGCCCCGGCCTCGTCGCCTCCTTGTGGCCTCAGCCCCGTCGCCACCTGCGGCCCCGTCGCCCACTGCGGCCCAGTCGTCACCTGCGGCCCCGTCGCCACCTGCGGCCCCGTCGCCCACTTCGGTACCACTCCCAAGGTAGCTGCGCAGTTCACCTAAATCTGTGCACGTGTGTCTCTTCTGCAGCTCGGACTTCACGTGGGCGAGTCCAGCAGTGTAAGCAGTGGCAAAGACCAAGTCGTCGACGTACACGAGGATGTAGAACGGCGGCAAAGAGGTGTTGGTGCGTAGAAACAGCGACGGGTCAGCAGTAGAGGGAGCAAACCCAAGAGCCGCAAGCGTAGTCCTCAGTGTGTCGTGCACTCACGCGGTGCCTGGCGGAGACCGTAGACTGGCCGTCGGAGGCTCCACTGAGTGCCAGGAGGAAAAGTCCCAGTGAAGCCAGGTGGACGGCGCAGCCAGATCTCCTCGTGCAGGCTACCCTGCAAGAATGCAGTGCTGAAGTCAAGGGAGTGAAGCTCTTAGTCACACTGAGCGGCTATGTGCAGCAGCACCCGAAGAGTGGTCATCTTTGGGGTGGGAGAGAAGGTCTGAAAGTAGTCAACTCCCTGCCGCTGACTGAAGCCACGAGCCACGTACCGCGCCTTGAAGACAGGTGGAGAAACTGGCGGCCGCATCACCCTGAAGATCCACATGCCACTAACGATGTTCGCCCTAGGTGGGGGAACCGCGTCAACGTAGGTGCCTGTGGACTTCCAGGAAGCCATCTCTGCATCCATAACTGCCTGCCACTGAGAGGGACCCTCTACGGCCTCTGCGTAAGAGCGCGGAGTCGGGATGTCAAGTGCATCCGGGTCTCCCTCAGGGGTAAGCAGTACGGCCACGAGATGAGGTGAAGCAGCAGCCAGACACTGGAACTCCTCATGCCTGTCCTCAAGGACGTCCGTGCCAAGAGCACACTCACCCCCGACGGACGGAGGATAGACAGACGCAGACTCAGCAACAAGACTAGCAGCGTAGTCTAGACGACAGCGAGCAGCAAAGTCGACGAGCTCAGCAACAAGAGGAGACGCAGCAGTGGACTCAAAGGAGGGGTCAAAGACGACAGTAGCAAGGAGACGCGTGACAGTAGGACTGGCAGCACGAAGAGAGTCCGACTCCGGGTCGGCAAGTGCAGGAAGAGAGGACGCAGGAGAAGGAAATGGGACACGCAGAGGAGCAGTGGACGGACGTAGAGACATCCGGTGCGTGCCAGGGACAGGAGGAGGACGCTGACGCGAACCGCGACTACTAGCGCGAGCAGCACAAACAGGCGACGCAGGACGAGACGCAGGCTCACGACGCTCAGCAAGACCTCAAGTAGGACCAGTGTAGGAAGAGGGAGCAGGCAGTGGGGAGGCCGGCGGTAACTGTGACTGTAACTGGACAGGCGGTGGACACTCTAAGGGAGGAGGAAGACCAAGAACCTGCTGAAGCAGCGGAACGAAGTACGGCCGAGGCCGCG